AATTCTGCCAAAAAAATAGTGCACTAACCTCCTTTGGTCGAACAAACTAGTATATATATATATATATTTAAATTTACAGTGATGCTAAACGATGAAACAGTTGCAGTGAACAGCACGATTAATAGTAACTGAGTCTTCAAAACTGAAGATGAAGCTTTGGTACCATGTTAATTTACAGTTAGACTGGAGAGGAAATGGTAAAGAGAAAAGAGAGAGAAGATAGAGATACAGTGACCAGTTAATGTGAGAATCTGGTTTGAGAGCTCTGAGCTCAAATATGTATTTTCTTTAGCAAATAGTTCCTTTCTCTGCATAACAACCCCCTTTATAGAAAGTGAAGAGGCATCTTGAAGCCAATTTAAAACTTGCATGTAAACCCCCTAAAGACAAAATATATCTTTTTAACACCCAAAAATATTATGTACATAGCAAAACACCCCAAAGGCCCAAAACCCCTCACATAGGTTCACCTAAGCCTCTCTAGGTTTAAAACCTTGAAATGACAAAAACACTTGTAACTCAAAAATATTATGTACATAGCAAAACACCCCAAAGGCCCAAAACCCCTCACATAGGTTCACCTAAGCCTCTCTAGGTTTAAAACCTTGAAATGACGAAAACACTTGTAACTGAAGCTACTCATAATTATTATCCTATATATGTGTTTACAAGTTTGTGTCACTTTTACCCCATTGATATCCATGTGCCCAAATAAGTTTCTGTGGGATGTTTGGAGATGATCAGATGGGTGCAAGCCTCAAGCCCAACTATCTCCATTTTGGGGAAGCATCCGATATGAAGAATAATTGAAACAACATAAATATAAATCTCTACTACTTTAAAAGGTGGAAGAATGTTTTCTACATCTTACTTTCCAGAAATGCCCTCACCAATAAAATATTGTTACTTACTTACCCTACCTACCTCTATTGAAAAACATAGGCAACATTCCATTTTCATTAGGCAGAAACTCTGTTTCAAGCATGTGACTGTTCCATTCAAGAAAGGAACTGTTTGACATTTATCCGCTGTTTTATATATTATTTTATTTATTTATTTATTTTATCACATTTAAAATCGAAACAACGTTTGATTTTATAAAGGATAGATGTGTCTATTCTAAATAGGCACCAAAGAGTCCATATATGTAGGATTCTTACTCAGGTAAAACACAATAAGGTATTATGAATTTTCTCTCTTTCTTCTATTAAACAGTGTTTCATTTCAAAAGGGATAGATGTGTCTATTCCAAATAGACACCAAAGAGTCTATATATTATTCAGGCAAAACACAACAATGCATTCTAATTTTTTTCTATTTCTTCTCCTCCTATTCTCTATATACTTCGGGATTTGAAATATTTTCTGTATTTATTTTTTTTTGATGCAACTGTGCATTGTGTCAAATTTCTATGAGTTTTGGGTTGTATCTTTGAGCCGTTTGTGATTGTTAGAACCTACACGGAGGGAGCACATAACCGCTTTATGACAATGTATTTGATCTGCCTCTCACAATTATACATACTATTTTTTAAACCTTTTTCTTTTGTATCTATGTGATTGTGAATTTTGATTTTGTGAAATTGTATGAAATTTGGATTGAATGTGGATATGATTGGATGATTCTATTCGGAATTGTGTAATTCATGGATCATATCATAGATCTCAATGTTGATTTTACATGTATGATTTTATTGATCCTTGAGGAAACGGGGCTATTTTTTGTATTGCAAATTAAGTTTTCTATAATGATTATTTATTGGGGCTTGTTTGACTTTCCTCCCTAATATTTGGTTGTGTTTGGTTGAATAGGAATTGGTGAATTGGGAGAACCCAACTTCATTTCTGTGGTTTGTTTGACAGATTTGACAGACATCAGTGGACAAAGCAATTCCACTTAACAAGCTTTTGAGAAATAAAAAGTTCTAGAATTGTTCACTTTCAATTCAAAATTTTGAACAAACTTGTTAGTTTTTAGTTGATACATGCATAACAGTTATATATCACCGAATTTATTTCATCATTTTACTTCATCTCCTATATGTTTTTATTGCATGTGTATTTATGAGAATCGGATGTAGGTGTGTGAAAAAGCATCGGACCTTATAAATAATCTTAGGATATTAAAATATGTATCCAAAAATTGGATATAATTACAAGGACTCATCAATATATATAAATACTATTTTTAGGTAAAATGTTATAAATTATGTAAAAATGTAGTTTAAATTAAATAGAAATTTTAAAAAATATATAGAATTTTTATCTCTTATCCATATGAGAGATTAGAAATATTTCTTTATTAAGTGTATAAAATTTATTTTTTAAAATCTGTTTTATTTAATATTTTTTTATTCTGCAAAATTAAGTTTAAAGTAATTTTTTCAGAAATTCCCAAACAGCAAAAACATCTTTTTTGGAAAATAAATTTTTTTTTTCTGGTTGTATCATGCATTCTCTCAACAGATGAAGAGTTCTTAGACAGTTTTTTCTCATCATAAAGTATGTACCCACAAATAGTTTTTTTTTTCAAAAAAAGAGCAAGTACCGACAAATAAATCTTTTAGTGTTTGTAATGTCATTGAGAAAGAAATACATGAGACTCTAATCTTATTTAAAGATAGACTTCTATTTTTGTTTAATTTGGTGAAAAGAATTAGGGTAAATTATACTTTGTCCCCTTTATATTTTATCATTTTTTTACTTTGGTCTTCAAAGTTTTTTTTTGTGTGCTCACTTTGTTTTTTCACTTTGACAGCTTTTGTCTAATTTTGGACAAAAGTTAACTTTATGAGTAAATTGGAAAACTTGAAACGTGAACGGCCAAACTACGAAAAAGAAAAGAAAAATTTAAAGGCCAAAGTAGTGATAAAATGGTATAACATAAAGGGACAAAGAATAATTTACCCAAAAGTAGTGTTTGGTTTATTAGAATTTAGGTAGAATTGAATGATGATTCCCTTAAAATGTCAATCTTCATGTTTGGTTGATTAAGAAATGTTGAAAGTACATTATAAATGCGATTATCATTCAATTTTATTTCACTTTCATTCCAATAAACCAAACATAATATCCTCTTGCTTTTGCTGGCTTACACAAACACTGATAAAGATGTTTCTACTCTACTTTATTTTTTTTTTAATTGTGACAAATTTTGAAAAACTGTCTCAAACCCAATGGAGAATTCATGGAAATATAAGATTTTGTCTGGAGAATGATTTCCATATAAAGAACTCCACTTTTCACTGTGAATATTGCAATGGAGTTTGCTTGCAATATGTAGGTAAAGTAGTTATATTGTATGTTTGTTATAATTTATATTTATTAATTGATCTGAGATCTTAAGAATTTATTTAAAAGTGAAGTTTTCTTTAATTGAAAGGTTTTGGGGGGCAATAAAAAAGGGAATTTCCCTAGAATAACCACACACACACAAAAAAAAAAGTTTTCATGTGCAACGCACGTGCATCATTGCTAGTGTAATATAAAAATAAGACTTAAAATTTTGTTTTTCCCTGTCCCTTTCATGTTGCTCCCTACTTTTGTTTTTGTTTTTTTTTTTCTTCTTGGAAAATTGAGGTGTTAGTATGTTTATGTCATGTCCTATGCATGTCACATGTCCGTGTTTCTTTAGACGAACACATTAAGGTAAGGAATAAGAACTTGTGCAAGCCTGCCATCTAGTTATTCTCCACAAAACATACTTTTTTTTTAAAGTTAATTCTGTGGATTACTCTTTCTTTTAGTAAAAGGTGTCCGTCTAGGTGGCTTAGTGCTACATATATAATTGGTTTAAGTACGGTCGTTATTTAGGTAAAATTTTTCACCAAACTGATAACCAAACCAAACCAAACCAAACGAAGCCTTAAGTCCCATCAAATGGGGTCGGCACCAAACTGATAATGGCGGTTTTATTATTTTGAGCATCGATATAGACCGTTTCTCTCATCAAACTGCACCAATTGAAACAGTTCGGTTTGGTGCGGTTTAATCGGTTTAGTATTTTTCAAATTTAAGTCATTTTTTAGTATAGTCACTCATTTATATAAAAATATTGAATCAGCCATTTGTCAACCATTTCAAACATATCTTATCCATTCATTTAATAAATATTTTACAATTTATAGATTAACAAAAATACAAACAAAAACTAATAATAATTACTAAGGCTTCAAGAATAGTGAGTTTGAGTTAAGATTACATATAATAAGGGTATACTAAATCCTCGTTTGGGAACAAATTATTTTAGTAACTTTTTGACTTTTTACGAAAAGATGTGTAGAAAAGTAAAGAGTGGTGGGGATAATTTATAGTGACTTTTTGGCTTTTTGGCTAATATGTATAGTTGACAAATGAGGCCGAACTTAGGTTGTAGGGATGATAGGGTTAATTGATTGAGATTAATAATTTATTTTACTTATTTAATATTATTATATTATTAAATTATATATATGTATATTATAAATACAATATATGTTGAAGCAGTCGGTTTTGGTTTAGTTTGGTGCATAAGGTGCTTAAACTGATACCGAACCGAAAATTGAAAAAAAACAAATTTAAAATCCACAGTGACCAATTCTTGTTAAAAAACTGACCAAATACGAATGGTTTGGTTCAGTTCAATTGGTTTGGTCCGTTTTTTTGGTTTTTCTTACATCCTTATTTAGTGCTATGGAACTTTTTAGTATAGATTTTTTTTGGTTATATGTCAATTTTGAGATTTGAGTAGCTGATGTACACTCTTTTTTTAGTAGGTAAAACATTTTGCTTCTTTGATTTCTGATAATAAGGTTGGCTTAGTGTCATATTTTTATTCTTCCATTAATGCACTTAACTTTTGGCCATAGTTATCTTACTGTTATGCCAGCGAGGCAACGTCTAATTTTTGCATTCATAGATCATGTATGTGACAACAAAACATTTGCCATCATAACTTGCTCAGTTTGTCTTTATTTGAAGACAACCGTAATGCTTGGACTAATTGGATCCTATCTTTCTTAGCAAGCGGCACTTGTGTTAAATGCTACTCGCCGATTTCGATACACCTTGGACTTGAAAAGAGAAGAGAAGACGGAAACGATGAGAAAGATTAGAATGCATGCTCAAGTCATACGAGTAATGTTATCTCTTGAATTGTAAATTTTTTTAAAAGTCAATTGGATTTATTCTCTGATCTATTGTCTCTTGATCTATTAGGCAGCCTTACTTTTCAAAGATGCAGGCCTACAAGTTAAAGGTAATTTTGTCTTTTTATTTTGTGTTGTTAAATTTACACTGAACAAAAATAAAAGGGAAAAGGTTACTTGCATTGAATCATGGTAATTATTTAATCAAGGATCAAAGTTTGTTTAAGTGTGTTGTTCTAGTCTGCTTGGAAACGAAAATGTTTTTGAAATGTTTTATAAATATAAGGGAAATGACCCCCCAAAAAAAAAAGAAAAAAAAAGAAAGAAAAAAAGAGAGATATGTATTGAAATGTTTGGAAACTGAAACTAAAGCCTATATAAATGTTTATATAAGCTCAATAATTAAATATTTGACCATGTTTGAGGTCTGCACTTTTTTTTTACATAAATGGCACACAATCTAGAAGTAAATTTTTGCGGACGTAAAATTGTTAAATTAATGTCAAACAAATCATTATTAAAACCACAAGTGTATACTGTTTTACATGTGCATACGATTCCAACCGAAAGGGATTTACAAAAATATAAAAATTAACGATAATAATGATCTTAATAGTAAAAAAAGGCGTAAGTGCTTCCAAGGCATAGTGCTTCATTGGGTAAACAAGATACATATTTCTTTTCTTCGCAAAATTAAGAATAACATTCAATAAAGTTCAAATATGAAAAGCTTATAAAGAAAAGGTTAAAGGGTTAGTTGGGGAATGGGGTTTGCCATTGTAAGAGTAAAGCTAAGGAATGCTGGATTCTAGCTATGGTAGGGATGAATGAAAAATCACAAAAAAATAGTACTAGTGATAATATTTTAAAAGAAACGGTGCTTGTAGCAACAAAGAGAATAAATGAATTTATTCATATCCATTGTTCTTTATTCTTCTCTTCGTTTCTCCTTTCTATTTTCTTTGATTTTCGAATAATATTTGTTATGAAATATTTTCCTTTGACAAAAAGAGACAAATAGAAATAACTCTTGTTAAATAGTTTAATAGGCTTGTTTTGGTAGAATGGAATTTCAGTTTCCACTAATGTTTTGTATCTAAAATAGGCGCACTGAGGCAGCAAGGTCTCCTAAGGCCTAGGTGCGAGATGAGGTGCAAGCTTTGTCGAAGCGAGAATCATATTTTAGATATTGCATAGTTTTTTTACAAGTATTTGAACTTTATTTTGATTTATCTATTATTTACCACTAATGAAATATTGATTATTATATGAGATTGTTATCGCCCAACACTTTACATTGTGCTTAATAACTTGGACCACATCAACAATTTCAAATGAAGCATATTTAAATCAAACAATTAGAAGTAATAGAGCAATTATGCATTCTAGCAATTAAGCAATATTTAGTTAATTTAGAAATTAAATATTTAAAATAATTGAGTCATTGAACAATAAACATTTGGTTTGCAAATTAAAATTTGACCACTGTTAATTGTTACTGTTCAGAGGGAAAAAAATTGTAAAACCAAAAAAATTTTATGTACGCCAAAATATAGAAGTTTAAGTATTTATCTTCAATTTGTTGACTAGGGTTTTATTTGAGGGGCTTTGATGGGATGTGGCAAATACATAAAATCAAAATGAGCTTTATTATGTTAAAAGGTTGATGTTAAATGTTTAACAATTTGGGCACTATTAAAAGAGGCACCCGCAGCTGTGCACATTGCGCTTTAGGGCACTTCGCATGCTTCTCACTCCTTGGTTGTGCTTTATTAAAGTTGCCTTGTCTCAGGGGTGTTGAGGCACCTCAAGTGCACCTCAATGCGCCTTGTGCCTAGGCGCTTGCCTTTTATATCACTGTGAAAATGTTTCGACCATTTTGACGAAATGAAATAAAGTTTTATTTATTGAATTTAATTAATTTGACTTTTTGTTGTGTTGGCCCTTGATCACATTTCATTATTGGAATTCTGTTTTGATTTTGCATGATTCTTGTTTTGATTTTGGTTTTATATGTATTATTGGGAAATTTTATTCATTTGTTTTAAATTTTGATCTTTCATCTAGGATAGGTCTTTTAGTTTTGCTTTTTAGCTTTCATTAACCATTTGTAAATGAATTCTCACTTATCCATGACTCTTGAGGCTATTCAAATCTCTGAACATGTTTGTTCGCATTGGTTTGTCAGCATTGGATCTATAGCTTTTTTAAACATACTGCACCTACAGGCTACAATTATGTTCTCTCCATTGCTTTTTGTCTAGTGGGACACTGTTGATATTTGAGCTTTAACTAATTAACAATTCTGAGGGTTATTTCAACTCTTTATACACATTCACATTGTGTTTTTAATGTATGATTCATATAGGGTCTACGTAGTCTCTATTATCATTTTTTTTTGGGACTACTTTTTGATATTTACAAGTGCATCATTGGTTAGTCACTATATTACCTAGAATGCAGATTGTTCTCTTACGAGGAATGGAAACGTGATACACCACATGCTCTAAAATGTGGTACAACAGGGGTGACACTGATATCTAATATATTATAGTGTATTTTTCTTCAAATTAATCATCCAACAACACAGTCCTACGAGCTTATTATGACCCATTGTTTTACATTTTGTCAATCCAAAACTCTACTCCATCTAGATTTTAGTTCATTTTATTTGACCTTTTCCCTATTAAGGGAAACTTTTAATGAAAAACATAGAAAAAATTATGGGATCACTTTGAATTGTTAAATTTACTGTTTTGAAGCGAAATGTCATGTTTTGGAACGTGCGTTCGAGAATGTAAATTGCTATTGTGCTAGCATTTTTTTGTTAATTAACACTGGTTAGTCATATAAGCAGGGTAATAGTGGATTCCTATAAGTTGCAAAACATTTTCTTTTGTTGCTAAATATTTTGTTTTTAAACTTAGCCTGTTTGTTTGTTTGTTAGCCTTAAATGAGGTTGGTAGTTGTTGGTTAAAATATTCAATGATTCTACGAAACTGGAATATCATTTGATCAGAATTCTATTGCTAGAACGATGCAAAAAGGAAATATACACATGTTGAGCAAAATTTTGCATTAATGTACAATTGTTATTGCAATGGTATTATGTGATTTACAATAATATTTTGATAGAAAGCAATCATAGTCTTTTTGGTCTAGTGGTAGGGGTCTTGAGGCTAATCTTTGGAATATTTCAGATTTAGCAATATTCAATGACATGGATTTTTTTGGTCATGCTTCATTCTCATCTATCATGGACATCATCATTATTGTTTCGAAAATTATTCTTTGTTGTTATGTAGGTTTTGTTCAGGCTTTCCTTATGATCATTAAAGCTGTCGTAGTTACAACGCTTCATTAATTTACTTTTTTTCTTCTTAGCGTCAGGAACGCCAAGACCACCTACAACCTCAGCTGGTGATTATGGTATTGATCAGGAGTGCCTTGCTTCAGTGACAAGGGATCATGATTTTTCTGCTCTAGAGCAATATGGAGGGGCAAGTCTATTCGCCGATCATCATCTTTTTTATTTCTTTTTTCTTTCTTCTTAATGCTATAATTGTCAGCCCCATGGTTCTTTTGCATATTTGAATGTTTGTGTGTCCACATCAGGTTAAAGGATTGGCTGATGTGTTGAAAACAAATGTAGAGAAGGGAATAGATGGAGATGATGTCGATTTATTAAAACGAACGAATGCATTTGGATCTAACACCTATCCCCGGAAAAAAGGACGGAGTTTTTGGGTATATGTTGCTAAGATTTCAATTTATGGGCGTTGTTTCATTCTTTATGAATTTTCTAGTACAAGATATACAATATATTTGTGTGTGTGTGTGTGTGAATGAAAAATGGTGCTGCTATATTATTTTTGTGCATGTCTTGCAGAGCTTTGTTTGGGATGCTTGCCGAGATACAACCCTGATAATCTTGATCATAGCTGCAGCTGCTTCTTTGGGGCTAGGTATAAAGTCAGAGGTGAGCACAAAGTGGAGTCATTAAATAAATAAAAGACTGCAAATTGTAGTAGAATGTTGTATTCACTCTAGAGTTGTGTTTCATCACACAGTCTAAATTATTGATCAATGGAGTTGGCCCCTATATTTCCTTGTCTTAAGCGTGGACTTCCTTTCTGGGCTGGTCAAAAGTTGTTCAACAAAACAAAATAATTGGGAAGTCAGGGATACCTTGGAGCACTTAGTTAATTATTTTGTAATTGTGTTAATTCTTATCATAAATCTGGTATGTTCTGACTTCTGAGTGTTGGGATAAAGATGCATTCATATTTGTTCACAGAACGAAGCATCTTGCTGTTTGGTTTCTTCTTTTTGGAGAATCTATTTTTGTAAGATCTTTTGCAAGGAGTTCATATTGTTATGTTTAAAACAATATGGAGAGAAAAAGAAATGAACTTTTGTCTCTTCTCTCGTCTAATTTACTGTGTAGTTGTAGAGATAAATGATGGTGGTGTATGTTCAATGGAAAAGATGGCAGTGTTAGTTCATTGAAACATTATGGTGTATATTGAACTGTATCTATGCATATTTAGGTTTTAACCATGAAGTTGACAAATAGAAGTGCAGTTGCTACAAAATTTGTGTTAATTGCATAATAAGTGTTCTGGATGGTTTAGTTAGTTCAGTAAATAGATAGTCTGAAAGGGTTAAATTAAACTTAATATCGGCTTGGATTTTTGTCCATCATTTCAGAAAAGTTCTAACTGAGTTCATTATAGTGCTTCATGAACTTTGTTTTGGTTTCAAGTGTTTTTGATAGTACCTTTGTCTTGTTCGAATTTGGGAAGTGCTCCTATGGTATACTATTCCAATGTTTTGCTGATAACCTACTTTTTCATGTGATTTAGTTGTATCTCATCATCTTTAATTTTTAATTTTTGTTTGATAAGCAATTCATTTGTGAAATTCTAAGAAGCAAAGACACTTTTGAGAATGTGCCGTGTTTGTGTGAGGCATTCCCTGAAACATGTAGGACATGTCTAAATGTGCCGTCATTTTTTTAACTTTTTAGAACCAGACATGCTCACTGGGACACACATGAACATGTTGCATGTTTGAAGAAAATAACATGTGTTCCAAAATAACTTGTGTTCCAATTCTTCTACCAGTTTGAAGAAAACATCACGTTGCAAGATACTTTCTTTCTTTAAGTGAAAATGTTTTGGTCTCTTGAGACTTTGAAATCTTGTTTTGTCTTTAGTAAGGCTTAGTCGAACCTTTATTAGATCAAATAGTATCTAACTTTTTTTTGAGAAATACCTTCATAAGATATGTAGCCTTTTGAAGAAATATTGGCACGAAAAGTAAGTTTAATATGATAAATGTCTAATTGAAGATTTAATGTTTTCTCCAAATGATATGAGTTTGTTTTTAGTCTTGGTTATTAGTTCACGTGTATTGAAAATTTGGTTTGAGGATTAAAGTCTCTATCAAGGACTTGTTGTCTTTCGGGTTACTTTATTGAACCTCAAAAATTTAGATAGAAGAGTAAATCTATAAATGTATGTGCATTTTCTTCTGAGTAGCCTTTAAGACAATTTGTTTTTTGTTTTTTGTTTCCTCATCTAAAGGGTTAAGGTTGGTGGCCCGGATGTGTCACCCTTGTTTATACCGTTGTTATGTATTTTGGTGGAATCACACATTTTTTTAGCTATGTGGCTGTGGTGAAAGTTCAGTTATACTATTTGAAGAAAAATAGATTATGCTATTTAAATTCTCATTCTACAAATTGCAATTTTAAGTCCTAAAAATCACATTCTAGTAAGTTACATGGTTGAGATTAAATTTAAAACAGGGAAGGTACAATAACTTTTCATTGTTGTTCTACATGTGCATATTTTCATAGACGTGGGCTCTTAGGATGTACCTGTACTTGAAAATTTGAATTAATTGAGCAATTAATAAGTCTAGGTTGGCAAACATTCAATCTACCAGATCGTATATATGTTTGATGTCTTATTGTTCGTAATTATTATTATTATTTTTTAATTGTAAACATGCTTTCATTTCACTTTTTGTCCCACTGGTCTTCTAAGATTACTTGTTTTTTGACACATATATGTGTATTATAGCCTTTTCAATTCATATCAGTTCATTTTTCCTATTTAACCTTTTTTTTTGTAGGGTTTGAAAGAAGGATGGTATGATGGGGGAAGCATTGCATTGGCTGTCATTATTGTTATAGTTGTTACAGGTATTGGATAATATATACTGATGTTATATAGGCCAGATTTGTGCTTGCTTGTGCCATAATAATATTCTGTTGCTTGTGGGGTAATATTTCTGCTTTTTGTTTGATAAAATTCCCTGTTAAATCTGGATGAGTTCTTTAACTATCGGATTATTTTCTCATGTTTGTATAACATGATTCAGAATTTATCTCATATCTTTAAAGATTGAGATGAGAGCTGAGATGATAGTAATTGCAGTGCAATTGCTTGACCAAAAAGCAAATAAGAAAGAAAAAATATTAAGTACACTCTCTCTCTCTCTCTCATGCCAATCTGAAGGCTATGATGATTAACATAGACATTCGTCTATCTTCTAGCAAAGAGAATTGACATGTATGTATATATATTGCACTGACTAAAAAGTTAAAACTACATTGTGCTCTAAGTATTCATTCATGATAAAATAATTTTGTAAAGTTATTTGAGGTTTATTAATGTTATGAGTTAATTGATGATGGACTTCCCTCAATGTGCTTCTCTTGGTGCTTGTCGGAGATCAATGTCCTTATAATGTCTGTTCTTTTTCCTCCTGTGAAAATTTTGACAGTTCATCCAAGAAATGAAAAAAAAATAAAAAAATAAAAAATCCAAATGTATGATTTTGAAGGTGAGAAGGGTAAGGTGATATTTAGTGAACATTGAAGGGGTGTCTGTGATTAACCCAAAAATGTAATAATAAAGCTCCAATTTTTTGTTGTAGTGAGGGTAAACGATTTTCCTTTACATCTAATAAAATAAGTAATCGAAGGTAGTGAAAAGTATGGTTAGTGAATAAGGATTCTGGTCAGCATTTTCCATGGTGATTCTAGTTTTGATGTGCTTAGTGGATGTTTATACAATACGATGGTTTATACATTCCTTTTGGTAATGTCAAAATTTGACTTTCATAGAAAAAATATCGTATGGTTTACTGTACTGAAGGCAGTATGTTTTCTTAACTTTTTTTTTTTCTTTTCTTCTTGCTTTTGTATTTTCCCCACTTTTGCAGCTATAAGTGATTACAAGCAATCCCTTCAGTTCCAAAATTTAAATGAGGAGAAGAAGAATATACATTTGGAGGTTTATCAATTTGGAAATCTTTTTCATCACCTAAATTGTTGTGTTGTTTTTGTTTTTTGCTCGCGGGTTTTTTCCTCTTTAACTGAAGATAACCATGCAACCAGGTCATTAGAGGTGGTAGAAGGTTGGACGTATCAATATTTGACCTTGTTGTTGGTGATGTTGTACCTCTGAAAATTGGTGATCAGGTGATGGCATGAATTTCTTAGTCTTGTTGCGTTTGCAATATCACTTTTTAATGCATCTATTGACTCCCATACTTCAAGTCTTGTCCCAGGTCCCAGCTGATGGAATTTTCATTTCTGGTCACTCTCTCGCAATTGATGAATCAAGCATGACGGGGGAGAGCAAGATTGTAATACGTCACCTATTTTATAGTGCAATATGGTTGTCCTAATTTTTGTTTTCTTAATTCATTAGCATGATCCCTTTTTTGACAGGTTCAGAAGGGCTCGAAAGATCCATTTCTGATGTCTGGCTGCAAAGTTGCAGATGGTTATGGCACCATGCTGGTAAATTTTGTTTCTCTTTCCTTTTTGTTAACCGTTTCTGTTCCAACTCCACCACAGTGGCGGTATGATTTGATTCCAGACTGAGATTGTACTGTTATATAATTCAAAATATTTTTGCAAACTGTATAGTCTATGGAGAATACAGCATAATATCATACAATTGTACAATATGATGAAATCAACAATCATAAAGAGAGAGCCTACGCAAAAACAAGTAAATGAGTATACTACCCTTAATATAAAATAGACAAAAAATACATATATCTGAAAATAACATGTCAAGTACATACCAAATTAAAATAAACATGTCACTAAGTTAGCACAATTGTTAATTAAGACTAAAAATATCGGTTCTCTGTAGTTGAATTAGGCAACCATATATAGGGTCGTAAAATGAGCCAAGATATTCAAGCTCAACTTGTGTTTGGCTCATTAAGTGTGTTTGAGATCAACTATTATGTAAACAAGTCGAGCTTTAACACATTTTGAAGCTCGTTATGTAAGCAATTCGTTTTATGATATGTTGACATTATATTTTGGAACTTAAAGATCTTGTATCTCTAATTGAGATTTTCTCTCTAATGAAATTTCATTCCTAAATCGTTTTCATCATCGGCTCAAAAGGTAAACAAGTGAAACTTGAACACATTTTGAAACTCCTTAAGTTTTAAATCCATGCTTGAAACACTTACTACTCTGCTTGATTCCTTAAGAGTCCTAACTGTGTAGCTAAGTTAGGTTTCATAGCTATCATGTTTCTTGTAAATATTGTGGAGCCATCTTGGATTACTTTTTTCTAGGGCTGTTTGGTTATGCCTGGACATGTGGCATGATCTGATAGGTTGAAGTATACATATATGATTATATGGTCTAGTTGGGCTCTAGATGATCTGACCTCTGAATTTTGTACGGTTGCTGATGTGGCTGGGCTTGAAGGGCCTACTGCCAGAGGTCACTGAGATGGCACCATAGGGCTGATCTAACATATTGGATGCCACGTGGTCAGTTGGTGCTTCTCATGTAGAGTGTCTAATGGTATTCTAGAAGCCTGAGAGGCTTGCCAAATGCCTTTGGGATGCAACGGAGTTACTGCTAGAAAAATTCTCTCTGCTTCAGTTGGAGTCGAGCATGGCACTTAAAATGTTAGGGGTTGTGTCCGACCTTTGACATCCTTCGTTTGCATCTACAAAATATGCTGAGATCTATTACGATTTAATATGTTAAAATAAACGTATGTACAAAATAAAGCCACAAGAATAATACTTCCCTTGTGTTCTGAGCTTGCTGGGTGGGCTGAAGATTCAATCTAAGCCGGTACAAACTGATATGGGCTTTGGAAGCCCATTCTTGTTAAACCGAAATAGTGGGGGGAAACACTTGGGAGTGTGCTCAAGGGAGAGAGAGTGTAAGGTGGTCGCACACCTCATGGAATTTGAGTAAGGCAGTGATCAGAACTGAAAATAGCAGAACATGGACAGACTCAGCAAAAAATTGCGGGTATGGTGCACTGTTAAGTGGATGAGTGCAGATTCTGTTACTGCTGGAGGCAGCAGCATAGTAGCAGAGTTGTATTCGTGTAAAGCTCTTATGGGAGCAGTGAGACTGAGTTTAGAGAGAAAACTGATGTAGAAGAAGGCTGGAGCCTTTGGTTTGCTTTAAAAGAGCTTTGAGAGCTAAGTTTGTGAGAAACTTGACCTTCTTCCATGAAGGTTTTAAGAGAAAGAGCTTGCAAAGCTTGAGAGCCCCCCTCAAATGGAGGAGGAGACTATATATAGAGAAAGAGAGCCTATTATATTTTGACAAGTGTCTAGACTCTAGAGCAGTACACTGCTACTTGGGTAATGCTTTTTACTTAGTAATGTGTTTACATGCTCCCAAGTAAGAAAGTTGCTTTTAGCTAGGGTTGCAAACGAGCCAAGTTTTGCCAAGCTCGAGCTCGGCTTGTTTGCTTATCGAGCTCGAGCTCAGCATAAGTAATTGTGCTCGAGCTTGGCTCGGCTCGATAAGATTTTTTTAATATTATTTATATTATTTAAATAAAAAATATTATTAATATTATTTTACTATTATTTATATATTATGTAATATATAAATAATATATTTATTATATAATTTAAATAAAGATAAACGAGCCGAGCTTATTGAAGCTCGAGCTTGGTTCGTTAACTAAACGAGCCTAATATTTGAGCTCAAGCTTGGCTCGTTTACTAAACGAGCCGAGCCGAGCTTGTTCATGAACAACTCGGTTCATTTGCAGCCCTACTTTCAGCTGAGATAGAACTCTTAAACATACAAATCTCAAAGAAGCAAAAGAAAACTAACTGAAACATATTATAATACTTTCTATTTACATTATAATTATTTGTACTTGACAAAGACAATTTATAGTTGACATCAATCTCAAATATTTATTCATAATTTAACACATTACAACGAAGCAGAAAAAAAGTAAATGTTAGGATATATTTATATATTTAATATATATATAAATGTATACGATTCCATAGGCGCTCCCAACTTTAAAAACTTCTTTGTGCAACTAAGGTCTAGAGCATTAAATGCTCAGAAAGATAGATTTGATATAGATCTGGGGTTGTAGAGGTTGTTTCCCGAAATGGAAAGAGAGTCTGACAAAAAATAGTAATTTTTAGTAGTGACAGTTTGTTGACATTATATTTTGGAACTTAAAGATCTTGTATCTCTAATTGAGATTTTCTCTCTAATGTGGTTGACACACAAGAGGTGAAACCTGTCCAAACAAGTATCCAAAGGTCTAAAGGAGTCTCCAAGTACAACTAGTTCTTTGTAGTTCGCACTCACTGCTGGAGTATACAAGTTTGGATGCTTTGGACACTCTTATACCCGCCATGCCACTGGTCCCAAGAGTTCCCCTGCAGGATTGGGCTGGCCACATGTCAAACAGTTCGAAGATCCCAAGATCAGGCTTGTCCTTTTTTCTAAAAGGTTTCCTATGCCTTGGGCAAGGGTGGGCAGTGCTTTGCTGCTGGAGTATTGGGTCCTAATGCTGGATTTTGGGCTAAAAGGGACTTTTCTTCACTTTGGGTTCAGCTCTTGGGTTGTTAATTGGGCCAAGCCTTTGAGGTGCTTGGGCTTTGCTGTAGAAGCTGTCCATATTGTTTTTATTGCTGTTTGCTGCTGAAGAGTGTCCAAAATGGACTATGTTGAATGTTTAAGCCATCTGAAGGTGTCAAGCCACTCTAGGGGTCTTGAGCTTTTTTTTATAAACAAAGTCAATCTATTTTGAAGGCTGAAATTGATAAGAACCACTGTTGAGATCCCAAAAGGGTTAAAATGCTGAAATGGACTTTTGACCAAGTTAACTGAAGTTACAAGTCATAGAAGACCTTGGGCTTATTTCTGAAGATGAGCCCAACTATTTTAAAGGCTATAGATAACTGAACTTTGTTGATTTGCCGATTCCAAGTGGATAAAGGCTGAATGGACCTATTCTGGGCCTAATTTGCTGAGTTGCCAAGTCACATGTGAACTTAGACTTAATTGGCCCAAAATTGTGGTCTTATGTACTAAAAATTTGGTGCCGAAATGCATCGTCAACAACTTCAACACAGGATTATAAGAATCATAAATTTGTTTGTATTAAAGAATCATATTTTTTTCTTTCTAATTTGTTTCTGGAGAGGGATCCTTTTTGCTTTTATTTTCCCGAATTCTTAAATATGAAATAATCTTTTGTTTTTTGGTTTCATGCCAAAACCAATTGGAACCAGAAATAAAACAAGACATGCATGCGTACACACAGAAATAATATTGCCTCCATTTATTCATGTGTGTGCAGATGTATGTCTTGATATATTTTTTCAACTTTCTGTTTCTTTATTAAAGTCATTGGGTAAGAAGTGCAAGCTTACACTTTTTCCACTTTTAGAAAGAGAAAAACCTTGTTTATATATTTAAGGTGTAACTACACACACATATCTTGTATTTCCTTCTCCCAACCATCTAACATGCTTGTTGCTAACTCACATTTTTATTTTAAGGTAACAAGTGTTGGTATAAATACGGAGTGGGGATTGCTCATGGCGAGCATTTCAGAAGATACTGGTGAAGAAACACCATTACAGGTTATTTTGTTCATATATGTTTTTTATTACGGTGATTACCAACGATAGTTTATTATTTACACTCTGTATATCTGCGAATGACTTACAATAGGTACGGTTGAATGGGGTTGCAACTTTTATTGGTTTCGTTGGACTCTCAGTAGCTGTACTTGTTCTAGTTGTCCTTTTGATCAGGTACTTGCAATTTTTGTTGTTGAGTTCTCTCCTCATGTTTCTCTCTCTCTAGAAAACAATGTTTGATTGGTGAAATTAATAAACTTGAGTATCTGCAGATACTTTACTGGGCATACCAAAAACGCAGATGGAACTGTTCCATTTAAGGCTGGCAGGACTAAGTTTAGTACTGCCATAGATGGAGTTATTAAGATTTTCACTGTTGCAGTATGTGCCATTTACAGAACTGATTGGTATATATATTTATATATATGCATTTCGAGTAGTTGACTAATACCTGAAGAACTTTTAGGTCACTATCGTGGTTGTTGCAGTTCCTGAAGGGCTTCCATTGGCTGTTACGTTGACGTAAGTTTGACCTTCATTGTGTCATTTTAATATCATTGTAGTCTGGCTCAACATAACTCATATCAATTGATCAAAGCATTGTCAATTAGCTGAGATTGGTTGAGCAAAATTGGTGTGAAGTAGGGATTCCTCTCTCTTTCTCTCTCTCTAAACTTTATTGGAGATCATGTCCTTGTTTCCTAGTTTTACTCACGTTTTCATGTTGGTTACTTTAGTCCTTTTATCTTCAATGTGGGCTGTATCTGATGTGGAACCTGCATGGAGATTTATTTTAAAAATTTATTTATTTATTTTCTTTTAATTATAGTTTAATTAAGAGTTTTATTTTGTTTAGAAATTTTATCTATGCTTGTTTCATTTTCTATTAGGATTTGATTTCCTATTTTGAATTAGGGTTTTAAGCGCTATAACTTTTTGGTCATTGCATTATAATTGTTAGCTTTGGATTATTGATATTAAGTATAAGGCTGTGGCAGTTTGTGTTAGGGATGTGGCCTTCTTCTTCTTCTCTTTCTTATTTTCTCTTCTTTTCCCCTACTGCGTACGACATCACTATCATTGCCTGCTGGTGCCATCATTAATTCTTGCATATTTACTGCTTGTTCCAGCCTGCTTTTAATATCTAGTTCAAAGATAATGCTATTTCTAATCTTTTTTAAAGTACACTAGTTGTATTTTCCCCTTGTACTATCTGAGCTCTATACTTGTATTATAGGCTTGCCTACTCAATGAAGAAAATGATGGCAGACAAGGCCTTGGTATGCGTGTTTTATCTTTTTCCTAGTCTCACTTCTTATTATATTGATATACATGTATTCACACATAATGTCATATGTTTAATGGGTTTACAAATATTGAACTTCAGGTCAGGAGGCTTTCTGCTTGTGAAACCATGGGTTCTGCTACGACAATTTGCAGTGACAAAACTGGAACCTTGACGTTGAATAAGGTGGGTGATAATGTTGTTACCTTGGAAAATCTTGTGTTCTATATTCTAATTCTGCTGGCCCATTCAGAGTATTATTTTCTGGTTAATGACTTTAATTTTTGGAGTCCACCAGACGTAGGATCTTTTCCACATTTAATTGCTTACTTCTTTAGTTAATTGCTTTAATGCTTTAACATTACAAAAGTAGGAATGATGCTAGGAGGATTAAAATTGCATATAAGATATTTATAGACCCTTATGGTGTAAGTGGAAGTCGATGTCGCATGAATATTGTTTTTGTATTATTCTGTTTTATTTATTATTTTTTCTATCTTCTATTAAGGGTTGCCTGTTGAGTTGAATAGCATTGAGTGATAGAAACTGGAAGTCATAGTTGTGGGTTTCTTCTTCTTTATTTTTTATTTTTTTCATTTCTTCTTTTTTGTCTTTTTTGTGGGGGCTGGGGAGGGGAGGGGAGGGGAGGGGAGGAGAGGATAGGATTCAGATAACAAAATCAAATCAAACCCTTGTGTCTAATCAATTGAGGTTGGTTACAAGAATACTTTATTTTCCCATTGTCAATTTGTAACATTTTTCTTCATTTACAGATGACTGTGGTTGAGGCCTACATTGGTGGAAAGAAATATGAGCATGTGGACAATGGGTCAGTGTTGCCCCCAATGGTCAAATCTCTGCTTATTGAAGGTATTGCACAGAATACTACTGGCAGTGTATTTGTGCCCAAGGTGAGTGAAAGAAATATATATCTAGTTTGTTTCTGAGGAGCTTATTCTCACTAGGCTTTTCATCTTGATTACTGATATCTAGTTACTTTATGTTAATAATTGAAACAGAAATTTACCATTCCATGGTGATATTTTTATTCTCACTAATTTAGATAATATTCTGATATTTGTGTTGACAACTCTTACTACATGTTGAAACTATAGCTAATCCAGGCTTCCATGGGTTTCTTCTACTTCATTTGAAATCCTCTTGATATGTTTTCATTTAGTTTCAACAGAATTCTTGGTTTGCAAAATTGCTGCTATTTTTCTTTGTCCAGAGACTTTGGACAGGATCATCCTTGCAGCCTAAGCTGCCTCTAAATATGGTCCGTTCTAGGTTGACCTCCATTTAAAATTTTATTGGATGATATTCTATTAAAATATTTCAGCAATCCAAATATATTCAAAATCATTCAGATGTTTTTGTGATAAACTGAGAATTAAATAAAACAGACATTAAATGGAGATGTAGCAGGATGGGAGAAAGTGCGGCTATGGTTTGTGTTAATCTGGACATTGAGTACTTGTAAAATATTTGGAAGAGTGTTGCTGGGGAGAGTTGGTTTACAGTTTTAATTTTGAAAGTTTCGTTGCAGTTAACTTCAAATTTGCAAATAAATTGGGTCAAAGTCTTAGAAAAAACATAGAAATTTTAAGTTTAGCAAATTTCACTTTACCCGCTTATGATTTGGCTTATGTGCACGTAACCCTGTCATTTGGAAATAACCACATAGCTCCCTTGTGATTTGTGGACTAAAGTGCACTGTTAGGCCCGTTAAAGACTAAAGTGAAAAGATTGAAATTCCTTTGTATATAAGTAACTTCATTGTGCAAATCATGGACATTTTCGTCATTTTTTAGGAGGTAAGATAAAATTCATTTAAACCCTCATGTGTTTTACTCTTAGTTGCGCGAAGCGAGAGCGGGAATGGGAGTAGGAGCATGGAATCATAGGCATTTCAAGAATCATTGGTTGGGAGTGTTTGTATATATTTTAAATAATATATAAAAATATTGTAAGATTATATTTTTTTTCTCTAATGATAATGGAAATATATATGTTATAAATTAAAAAAAAAAGTATAAAAAATCATATGTTAAAATATTCTAATTATATACTTTTATTAGATTTTTTTTTTCATTTATTCTAAAATATTTTTATTACTTTTTTATCTATTTATTCTAAAATGTTTTTGTTCAAAATTATTTATTTTAATTATTGTCTTAACAAAATAAAATAAAAGAAGAGAGAGAGGAGAAGAAGATAGGCGGAATAGACAAAAGAAGAGGAAAGAGAGAGAAGAAGACAGAGAGAAAAGGAGGAGGAGGAGATCGATTGATCTCGAGAGGAGACGAGATCGAGAAACGAATCAATCAAGAGAGAGAGGAGAGAAGATTGATCGATCGATCGAAACACGATGAAGATCGAGAGAAGGCAAATAGGCGATCAACAGAGAGATCGAGGTCAAGAGTGAGGATGATAGATCCAGATCAGCTCCTTTTCTTCTCAGATTTGCGTTTCTCTCGCATCAGACTCGGGATTTTTCTCCGATTATTCTTCCTCAGAGTTGCAGAATCATGCTTCTTTGATTGATTCGTGAGCAACATCAACGATTCCTGCTACTGAGGTTTTACTCGATGTGCGATTTACCCTCTTGACATTCGGAAATGAGCACATAACCTCCTTATGTCTTGGCACGTGTTTTGCGCTTGTTAACTTGGATGAAATTTCTAATGGTGCACTTCAGTTCACAAATAAGGGGTTTATGTGGTTATTTTCAATTTCCAAATGATAGAGGGGTAATCCGCACATGAGCCAAACTATAAGCAAGTAAAGTGAAATTTGCCCTATTAAGTTTTAGTACTCAAAAATGGGATATGTCATGAGATTGCTGCATTGAAGTGAGAAGTCTTTGGAGGAGAACCTTTTTATGCTAGCTACATCTGACAAAACTTAAGAAAGATAAATGCTTTCATTTTTATCTTTTAAGTTTACTTCATTGGTGATTATGACTAGGTTGAATGCATCATGCCTGTAGCGAAATATGGTTATGATATTGCTGTATAATTTGTTTAACATAGATACTTTCAGATGTGCAGTTAACTTGCCTGGTGATAGAAATTTTATTTTATGCAAGCTGTTACCTTGTAAAAGATGCTGTCACACAAGACATCTGAAGAAATTATTGGAGAAAAACTTTGGTTGCATGTTTCTCTTTTAGGTTTTTTAGTTCAAATGGTTGAATCAATAGCCACATGCTAGGAAGCAACGACACACCCGATAGGCTTGTGTGTGTGTGTTTGTCATTGACAACCAACGAACCTATCCCAACATGTGTAAATTTTTTTTTTTTTTTGGTATTTAAAATTGAACACACTTTGGACATGTGAGGAACTCACTTGTGTCACTGAGACAAGTGGCACCAATATGGGTCTCTTTGCACAAGTTTGAAGGAAAATTTGGGGCGAATGAGTAAAATCAAAACAATGCATTTATGGCTATTAAATCTTTATTTATTTGTGAACCCTGCCATGTACTTGTCTTGATATTTTGGAATTGTCATGTTGATGTATTGTATTGTATCCTTGTTGTGTTTCCACATTTGTGCTTCTTAAAAGTTTAGGAGACATGACCCTTTTAGTAGCAGTATGAGATGGGTTTGATTCATACACACACAACACATTTAATCATTCATTCGAAACATTTCCAAAGCATAGAGATTTAAGACTCTACACTAACTGTCATACATCCATAGTGCATCCTTTAAGACTAGACTAACACACTATAATTACTGGGTTGTTTTATGGATTTTATTTAGGTCTAGAATAATTTAGTTGTCGAAGACTAAAAAATTCTTAATCTTTTAAGTAATAGTCCTAATAGAATTAGGAGAGCCAACAACCTATAAATTTTTATGTGATCATGTTATTCTTGATTGATGATTTCGTGGCTGTTAAGTGTTGCTTTGTGCAGTCTTACCTTAGGATTTAACTTCTGAATACACTATTCTTGGGGTAAATACACTATTCTTGGGGTAAGCTTGTCTTTTAATTCCAAACTCTATCTAGTTACACTCAATCAACCCGAACCACTTCTTCTACCTATAGCCCTTCAGCTGAACCACTAAACTATAATTTACTCACTGTTTAGGCCCTTAAAAAGACTGTTATCAAAATTCAGCAAGCTGACACTTTCGAAAATCAAGTTAAAACTCATCTTTCTTTAGAAACTTTAGAGAATTCTTTTACATTGTAGAACCGTAACCCTAGAAGCTTATTATAACAAAATACCACTACAATTTATTTTGTAAGCTGTTTTAGGTCCCAGTTTTCTAGTCAGTTCAATATCAATAGTTACAGATGCAAGCTTGTCTTTTTATCTTGTGTTTGGTTAGCTCTGTTATCAGAATTTACGATTCGCGATTCGATTCACGATTCGATACGCAATTTTTGTAAAATCGATACGAATCTATGAGTGAATCTATTTTGGAAGTGAATCTCTAGTGAATCGCACGATTCACAATCGATTCACGATTCGATTCACTTTTTACGATTCATGCAATTTTTAAAATTATTGTGTTCGACATATTTTCGACTCATTTTTTTCATCTTTTTAGTGAAAATGACATAATACAACTTCTAATAACATTTAATACCAAAATAATCAACATATATATATGATTTGTTGTTATTTTAGTGATCATGGAGTTTTTTATAAGATTCAGTCAGACCTAACATATTTTTAACATTTCTTCTCATTTTTTTCCTCTTCAAAAAATTGTAATATATCTTCTAAAGATGTTTAAGATTAAAGTTATACTATGAATAATCAATTATTATTTTATTAAATTGAATATTACATATGTGAGGTCAGTTATACCTTTTAAAATGTTTTAGGCTTTAACATAAAATATCCTAAATAATCCTTTCTTATTATTTGCTCACTCTTACTTAGAAAAGTATATATGCTTATTATCCAAATATCAATATCATTGTTAACTATTGTTACTTTAGAAATTAATAGTTTGTCTATTTGATTTTTATCTTTATTAAGAATGGTTGATAAAAAATATCTAAAAAATAAAAAAAAAAGGTAAGATTGTGATTTTACATAGGAATCTTTGTTAACTTCTTACCTATTAAATTACGTGATTATCTTTCAAAATAACAATTTTGTTGATTTAAGTCTAACTATTTTATATTTATAAGATATATTTAACATCTAAATGTGTAGATATATATTTTTAAGTAATTTAGAAAAAGTGACCGAATCTTTACGATTCACGATTCGATTCGATTCGATTCGCGATTCGGTACGAGGCCATTTCGATTCGCGATACGAATCTCGATTTGACAACTATGTTGGTTAGTTTCTAAGGGCTCACATTTTTCAGAGGCTAAATTGTTAGGTGCAGTGTTGCAAAGATTTTTATGTCTTTGTGCAGACATATATATTGGTAACTTTTTGGTTTTAATCGGTCTTGGTAGCGCGATTATCTGTTAGCTGTCTTGTCTTGTCTCATTGTTGAGGTCTGTTGTAAGCATCATCTTGCTGCTATAGTTCCTTCTGTCACATGTTCTTGCCTTTCCCAATATGATAATTACAAGATTGTTTATTTTGAATATTTTTATTGACTAAACTTGGGTTTTTAGGTCTTTCATTCTATATCCTTCAATGTGTTTATTATTTACAGGGTGGAGGAAAGACCGAGGTTTCTGGCTCACCAACAGAAAAGGCCATTCTCGAGTGGGCAGTCAATGTACCTTGTTATTTTTCCTAGTTAGTTATTTGAATTTTATTTATTTATTTCTGTTGGAAGAATATATTTAATCGTTAATATGGCTTCGGCAGCTGGGAATGGATTTTGATGCCATCAGATCAACTTGTTCAATCATCCATGCCTTTCCATTCAACTCAGAGAAAAAACGAGGCGGCATTGCATTAAAACTGGTAATAAGGGCTGCATATATTTCATTCAAAGTATTTATTTCTTTATGTTGATTGTTTTCTTTTTTCATTTATTTGTTTTTTAAAAATGTTGGTCATAGTGCTTTAAATTTGCATGCAGTATTTTTCCCTTTTGTCCCATTTGAACTAAGATATATTGGTGTCATGTGTTCAGTCTCATAAGTTTGTTTCAAGCACTGAGGAGACTGGTTAAAAACTAAATATAGATGAAGAGGGTGTAGGAGATTGTGAGCGCAAGCCTTGGGTAACCAATGGGATAAGCTGTGAATCAGGACAGGTAGTCGTATTTTTTTTTATCATGGTTTTAAATTGCATTATTGGCTGGTGTAATGGTATCAGGAGTATCGGTCAATGTGTAATGAGAATTGAAAACTGTACTCAGTATTATTTTCAAACACTGTAAAATGCGAAAAAAGGGGTCATTGATAAGCATCAACTGACCCTATTTATCACAATTTGAATGTTTCTAATTATTTTTGACTAACATTGTGGCACCTAAAAACATGGTTTATAATTTATATTGAATGCTGCTTTGAAGGAAAATAGTGGAGAATTTCATCTGGAATAAAAATTTCACTATTTAGATTTATTGGAAATGCAAGCTGATTGGATTATTACTCTATCTCCTTTCGGCTTTTTCTTGTGGCATGTTCACCTTCAGCCACATATTTTAATAAACATAGGGAAGTTTGTTTTACACCAAGAACCACAACCTTAGATCCCGTGATCACACTTGAACCTTCAAGTTTTATGCCCCAAATGAGTAGACAGTAGATCTAAATATTTTACAAGTGGGGAGAAGCAGCAGTGAGAGAAAGAAAAATGGTGTAAAATGTGACCCAATTTATGTTTGGGTGTGTTTTATGCCGACAAAGGCTGTAACGACCATATCGGTCCATAACGCCTGATACATGGTTCAAATTCTAGAACTTAGAAGAGTTTGTACATGATTTAAGGCCGGTTTTGATCCATTAAGGGATGAGATGAGACACTTGTTTAGAGTGTTATCTCATTCACAAGGAGTGGTTAATCCTTCAATTCCTATTATAAGTACTCCAATCCAATCCACTCTTCAGCTGCTAATATTACATAAAGAACCATTCATAGACATACGTTAGGATTGCTGGGTTGACAACTTAACAGTGCATCTCCTCTCTTTCTGCATCACAGCTGTGTCCGGAGTTTTTACTGTCATGCCAACCATCACAGTAAAGAAGCCATTGTATTCTGGTTCTTCGCAGTCAATAGTTCTGGTTCATTGCTCGTTTTAGGTCATTTTAAGGGTTGTAATGCGAGGCTGTGTTTGGGGAGCTCCATCAATTAACAATGTAGAAGCTCCATCAATTCCAGTAGATCTCGTGGGGTGAGATATTCTGGTTCGTTGCAGTCGAATATGGGGTGGAGCATAGGGTTGTCTTTTGTGGCAACTGATGCAATATTATCATGATTATTTTGACATCTTGAATTATTCTAAGATATTTAGAGGCTTGATATTACCCAATAAGTAGATTAATTTCTTCTCTTTTCTTGTTTCTAAACCTAATGACTGGAAGAAAGGAAGCAGTAATTTTTGTTTGTCCCTTGTGTTTACCGCCCAAGACTTGATTCAATTCGATAATGTTAGAAACAAAACCACTTAACTGGTTTTGGGTACTATAACCAGAAAGTTGGGTGTCCATTTGCACCTCTACGTATACATTTCTTTGGTGTTTAAAATGTTGGTGAACTATTATTGTGTTTATGCATTTAGATTTTATCAAATCACAAACTATCTGACAAGCATCTAGCATGTGAAAGTAGGATCAATGCATGGTCATCTTAACTGTTATGCATGATGAGCTTGATAATTTTAAGGTTGTACACATTGTCATTCGGTTTGAAAGTCACATTCAAAATGCCACGAGATATCTGTGCAGTGATGCCATGATTTTCTGTTCTAACATGTTTTCAATGCTGCTTGATCTGAAATATGCAATTATATCATTGAAACATCATGTGGGAACACTGGATTTATCTAAAGAATAATCATATCATTTGCATTCTTCTGTGCCAGCGGTAGTAGAATGTTGTTCCTTATAAATTTTGATAATGTTAGAAACAAAACCACTTAACTGGTTTTGGGTACTATAACCAGAAAGTTAGGTGTCCATTTGCACCTCTACGTATACATTTCTTTGGTGTTTAAAATGTTGGTGAACTATTATTGTGTTTATGCATTTAGATTTTATCAAATCACAAACTATCTGACAAGCATCTAGCATGTGAAAGTAGGATCAATGCATGGCCATCTTAACTGTTATGCATGATGAGCTTGATAATTTTAAGGTTGTACACATTGTCATTCGGTTTGAAAGTCACATTCAAAATGCCACGAGATATCTGTGCAGTGATGCCATGATTTTCTGTTCTAACATGTTTTCAATGCTGCTTGATCTGAAATATGCAATTATATCATTGAAACATCATGTGGGAACACTGGATTTATCTAAAGAATAATCATATCATTTGCATTCTTCTGTGCCAGCGGTAGTAGAATGTTGTTCCTTATAAATTCTAAAATAGTTCTTCTTCTTGTTTTTTTTGGGGGGTTAATGTTTACAGGCTGACTCCAAAGTTCACATACATTGGAAAGGTGCTGCTGAAATAGTCTTAGATTCGTGTACAAGATACATTGATTCAAACGATCATATCATACCAATGGATGAAGATAAGGTTTGAGATAGTAGTCCTTTTTTCCTATTGATAGTGTGAGGCATTAATAGTTACACAGTTGAGGCCTGTTTGTTTAGTCAAAATGATATTTTTCTCCTTTTTTTCCCGTTTCTGTTTGGGCGAATGTGATCTGTTGAAATATGAGAATCATAGAGTACCTTGTTTCAAAACTTTAAAAAATTATAAAAACAGAATGTGCTTGCATTCAAAATTGTAAGTATTTGCGGATCATGTAGTCATCTTAACAATTTTTAAATCTGAGGTTCATTTTGTTATTGCGGCTTGTCTGCAGATGACATTATATAAAAGAGCTATTGAAGAAATGGCTGCAGGAAGTTTGCGTTGTGTTGCTATTGCTTATAGATCTTGTGAAATGGATGTTCCAACTGATGAGGAGGACCTGGCTAATTGGGAAATACCTGAGAATGATCTTGTATTGCTAGCTATTGTTGGTTTGAAGGTATAATTGTTTTTTGCTGTAATTGTATATTCCTGCTCTGTTTCATACCTAGAAAATATACCCAGAAAGGTGCCTAGAATTTGAATGTATGGTGTGGGTTTAAACTTGTGTGGTGTAGGCCTTACACCGGATGAGTCTGATCCTTACATTTAAAATTCTGGGTACTTTTTTGTGTATGTAATTAGTTTACAAGATGATTCCTTTTGTGAATATACTTGTATGACTATGAGTTGCTATTGTGCCGCTCAATTTATGATTTTCTCATCATTGCGTGCATTTGTGGGGTAACCAAGACAATTTGCAATATTATGATGCAGGGTAACCAAATGGGTTGGCTCCCTAGGGTAAACAAAATAACTTCAAATAAGAAACAATTCTATGAAAATTGGAGTTCACAGTAGGGATCGTCTCTATATACCATGGTTACTACTTACTATTTTCTTGGAGTCCTGGAATGCAGAACTACCATAATATACAAATAGATATTATTCTTTATTAATTTTCAGTTTGGCAGAACCATTTTTGGTGTTTTGGAAGTTTGATGTGATTTACATAGAATGTACCCATTGTTTTATTCCTGATTCTAGTTTTCTGAATTTATCTCTCATTATTACATTAAAATAAATTGAATTTTTTGGATTTGTTGTGTGGATGATATTTTTAGTATTAGATTTTGTACTTAGAATACCTCATTCTTTACTTGATGCGTACTTTATGTTAACTGTATCTACCAATATTCAGAAGTTCTATTTTATTTCAACTTTTGTTGTCACCAATCCAATGTATGGATATATTAAAATTAATTGCACTGGACTAATTATTTTAATGAAGTCAGCACTGGTCTTGCTCAGTGGTTCTTTTATTTATGGTTTCATGTGAATTTTGTGGTACTTTTCATTTCTTATGGTATTATTTGAACTTTTCTCTTTTATTTTCAGTAATACTAGACAAGCTTCCTACTTTCACATTAGCATATATATTTTGTAGGATCCTTGTCGACCAGGTGTGAAAGATGCAGTTCAGTTATGCACAAATGCAGGCGTTAAGGTATTTTTTATGGTTTTCATCCTTGTTATTTATTCATCGTGTGTAAAGTTTGTCATTGTGTACTTTTTGTATGAATTAATATTATAATTTTCAAGAGATCTGTTGTTTTTCTATTGCAGTAAAGTTTTAAAGCTAAGTAACAAATATTTTCCGTTTTCTTTTTATTTTTTAAATTTTTTTATGGAGAACCAAAAGGTTTGCGTTTCTGGTCTTGTTTAGTGCAACACGACCACTGCAGCTTTTTCTTTTTGTCTTAAGTTGGTGTATGAAACAATTTTTTTGTGTCGGCCTCCTTGACGCATGGCTTACCAATGTTTAAGGTTTTTTCATATAGATACAACCAAGTGGAAAAATTCTATTCAAACTGAGATGGTATTGAACAGACCTTTTATGTTCTTGTTAGTCTATAATGTCTGATCTCATGGCTGGATAAGGTGTGAGTTGTCTTCTATATTCTTCTGTTATTTGGTCTGTTTGGTCCTGATTCTTCATTTGACCTCGTATTTTGCGAGTTTTGGCAAGTATCTCTGTTGGAAGTTATTCAGATTTTAAATTTTATGAATTTAATTTAAAGTTTGAATGTTGCCAATCCAATCTTACCCTAGTGAAGAATGGAACAGGAAAACTGTTTGAGATGATGTAGCATTTGGTATCAATAGTGTATGATTTTCTATGATTTATCGTGTTGTAAATTTTTCTGCCCTATGATTGACCATTTCCTAAGTTTTTATTTTAGGCTTTCATTGAGCTTTTAACAAAAAAGAACTTTATGACATGATGTGGTAAGGTTGTGAACTTTGTTCAGATGAAAAGTACATTGCACTGGTAGATCAGTTATGGCACCAACTAATTGCCAAATTCTTGGTTGTGGTTGGGTAGATATTTATTTCAGTATATGTCATGCCTTGATTTTAATAATTTTATGTACTGCACTATTTAACCAAATAAAATATAAAAATTATCATACAACAGGCAGGGTCACACTATAAACTGACCACCCCTAAGTTTTAGAAAAATTACAAGAAGCTCTACAAGTCTGGCATAATTACATCGATTTCTCTTTTAGTAAAGATAGAACGACCAAAATTAATGTAGATGGTTTGTAGACCAATGTTTTAAATACCGGACTGGACTAGCCGGTTAAACCAGTTGGCTCGTGAACCAGTTGGAAAACCGGTATCTTTTATGAAAACTGCAGTTGAGCCAGCACTTCGTTCAAACCAGACATGGATCAGTTGAACTGGTTGGGCCATTTTTCTTCTCCTTATTTTTTTTAATATTTTCTTTTCTTTCTTTCTTTCTTCCTGCCTTCCTTCCTTCCTTCCTTCCTTCCTTTGTTTCTTATCTATCTATCTATCTATATATATATGTTAAAATTTTGACTAGAAGCTGTCTTCAATGATCTCCTCTTTGAGGAATCCTGTTGAGAGTTTGAAAATATTGTAAAAGACTCTTCATATTTTTAAGAAGAAATTTCTTCAAAAAGAACCCAAGAACCCATGTGGGATTCAATTAAATTGTTTGAATAAAATTTATTGGAGGGAGAGTTGATATCTTGATATCCCTCCAAAATTAATGCTACACCTTCAATATTGTTTGAAGGGAACATTGAACATTTGGTTTGCCTCCAAAATTAAAACTAATGGCCTTTTAAAATATTTATGATGCTTTTTATTTTATAAATAAGGAAAACATTAGAAGAAATATTTAAAATAAATTAACATTTTTAGGTAATTTTTTTATTTAAAATTTTAATACCTATATTTATTTATTTATATATAATTTTTAATATATTTATGACATCATAGTTCGATTCTAATTGATGTGATAGTTGAACTAGTAAGCCATGACTTGGTCCTTTTTTTGATTCTCGTGGAGCATTCGCTTTGTGATGTTTTCTTAGATGTGATACGTATTATTCAGTTGAAAGAATAGTTTTCAAATATGGAATGTGTTGAATATCATGTTGATGTTTGTATATACCTTGCAGTTTTTATATTGTTTTTTCTGGCTCAATTGGTTGAAAATAAAAATTTCATTTGAATAGGTGCGTATGGTCACTGGTGACAATATCCAAACAGCTAAAGCAATAGCTTTAGAATGTGGGATTTTAAAGTCAAATGTAGATGCTACCGAGCCAAATCTCATAGAAGGGAAGGTATTCCGCGCATTGTCAGAAGTTGAAAGACAAGATATTGCTAACAAGATATCGGTATGATTTGAAGACATTGTGCAACAATATCTGTAAATTATGTTGTTGTGTGCTTGCGCGTTATAACTGAAGTGAAAATTTGCTAATTTGGCAAAGAATAATGACAAGCCATTTGACTCATAGGTAATGGGAAGGTCTTCTCCTAATGACAAGCTGCTGCTTGTGCAAGCATTGAGAAAAAGGGGACATGTTGTTGCAGTCACTGGAGATGGCACTAATGATGCTCCTGCACTACATGAGGTATGACAGAATCTTTATGATCTGATTGATGGTAGAGCTCTGTGGATTGATCTATGCCATAGATGAACTTGTATTTAGGTAGCATGTGTTCCACTGTCGATATATTCCACTCAGATCTACCCTACATTGGAAGTTGGAACTAATGACACTCAAATTTGATTATCTGGTCCATTTGAATTTAATGAATGGACCACCATAAAAATAGTATGTCAAGGTTTTTTTTTTGGAACACACTTAAGTGGTGGGTGTTTGCAGGGTTTCTGATATGTGTGTTGATCTTGTTGATAAACCTTTATTGCCCATCTATTCTAGTCTATATTAAATGGACTCTTCAAAGTAAATCAAATACTTGTATCAAACACCCAACACTTGGACAAGGTTGTGGGATATGCCAGACTTTCTGTCGACACTTATATATTTGTATTTGACACTACTATTATATTTATATATTGTAGTATAATTGCTATAAAATGAGTAAAATATAGCACCATTTCATTTCACATAACAAATTAAAAATATAAAATATGACATTTTTATGCCAAGTTTGCGTACCTTTAAATTTGAGATTTGGTGGGTCTGACATCTAAATGTGCATCCGACACTCATACGCGAGTCAATGTAACATAGGTTTTGGCCTCAGTTTTTTTTCACTCCAGTTTCTTAATTTATTATGCTGGTATTAATTTGTCAATTTTAATAATTTTCTATTCACATGATTTGGTAATTGTTTTGGAATGTAGGCTGACATCGGTCTTGCCATGGGTATCCAAGGCACAGAAGTTGCTAAAGAGAGCTCGGATATAATAATTTTAGATGACAATTTTGCCACTGTTGTAAAGGTTAGTTGTTGTGCATTGCAAGCATTCTAGTTTTGATTACCAAACCAAACCAAACCGAACTAAGCCTTGTGTGCCACTCAAGTGTGGTCGGCTACATGAACTATTTTTTGCCATTTTACTGTGTCAAGGGCTATATGCTTAGTTACATTAAATAAATTTATATGTTTTTTAAATACGACGTTCCATATTAGTTTAGGTCTTTCCCTCCCCATAATTTTCATTTGTGGTTGATTATATTGCTCTTCCTTACCATTGATGCTATAGGTCTTCATTGTGCATGATCAAATCATCTTAGTCTATTCTTTATTAACTTATATTCAACTAGTGCTACTCCTATTATTTCACGAAAATAGTTGTTCCTAATACTATCTTTCCTAATCTTACCACAAATCCATCTACGCATTCTCATCTCAGTTACAATAATTTTATGAACTTGTTGTTTCTTAGTTATCCATAATTTTGTCCCATGAAGCATCATTGGCCTTATTGTTGTTCTATAAAAATTTTCATTTAATTTTGTTGGCCTTCATCGATCACATAATATGCCAGACACACTCTTGCACTAGAGCCAACCCACTTTGATTTTATGGATTACATCTTCTCCAACCTCACCATCCTTATTAATAATCAAACCTAAGTAAGGAAAATGTTGATTGTTTGCTTTCTCTGGATTTTCAATTTTCACTTCTTTATTTCTACCTATCACTAAAATTTCATTCTATAAATTCAGTTTCATTTTTACAAATTTTAAATATTTAGTGGTTAATTTCTTCCTTAATTTCATTTGCAAATAACATACACCATAGAATATCATTCTAAATATATTTAGTTAATTCATTCATAACTAAGGCTAATGGGGAAGGACTCAAAGCTGACTCATGATGCAACAATGATTGGAAATTCATTAGTTATCATAGTCACAACTCCATCACACTTGTATTTTATTGCATCAATATACCCTTTGGTCATATCTATTTTCTATAAAACCCACCATCTTATATCTCTAGATACCTTATCATAAATTTTTTATAAATATATGAAAGCTATATGTAGATCTCTCATTTTCTTTCTGTACTTTTCTATTAATCTTTTTAGTAAAAATATTGCATCCATAGTTGATCCAACGGGCATAAATCCAAACTAAATCTCTTAACACTATTGTTATAACCCTTAAGTGATGCTCGATCGCTTTCACTCACAATTTTATTGTACGACTCATTAATTTATTTCCTCTATAGACATTGCAATTTTGGATGTTTCTTACATATAAATATAGGTATTAAAATAGTTTTTCTTCACTCATTAGGCATTTTCCCAGTTATTAGAATCTTATTAAAGAATTTTGTTAACCAAGACATCCCCTCCTTACTTTAGCTTTTCCAAGCCTTAATTGGGATACGATCTAGTCTTAATGCTCACCTGATTTCATTTTCTTGATTGCAAATTCCACCTCAAACTCCTTTAATTGACTATTTTTTAGTTCCATCCATGCTATTATATCCCTCTCTTTCTAAGTTTTCTAAATGTTTTTCATTTATCAGTTTCTCAAAATAAATTTTCTGCCTTTTCTTAATATCTCCATCTTTCACTTACACCCTCAAATCCCCAATTTTTATACACTTAAGTAAAATCTCTTGTTTTCCTTTCTCTCAATTTATACTTTTCTCTATCTTACTGTCTAGTCTAGCATAAAATCATCGCAGGATTTTAACTTAGCATCTCTAATTGTCCTTTTAACCTCCTTTTTAGCGAACTTGTCGAACTCTTAAAATTTTCCTCATTTTGCCACTTTCTAAAACAATCCCCCCTCCCCTTTTTTCACTACAGCTTGTATCACACTATTAAACCACTAATTATCTGGGGTCTTTTTCCCTTTGGCATTTTAAGGACTTCTTTCGACATTCTTTAATGCATTTTGCCATTAAATTTCACATCTTATTAACATCTCTTTCCATGCTCCACATTGCTTCTTTAAATATTTGTAATTTCTCACCTTTCCGTTTCCACCATCTAGCTCATGAGCTTTTAATATCTTTTCTAATTGGATTTTGCCCTTTAATGTATATATATAATGAAATGAAAATCTCTAAAAATCTTGTTGACTGCCTTTTTATGCTTCTTTTCTTTTCTTAAACTGATGACTACACTAACTTTTTTTTGAAAAATATTTTCTTCTGGATTGTAGCATGTGAGAATATGCTGATTTCTGCCGTTTTGAACTGAAAAAATCTCAGCAGTTCCATTGATACAGCAGAACAGAAACAAAGCTTTATTAATTTATTTTGTTGCTTCAAATGAAAAAGGATGTGAACATGATTGGCTCTAGCAGTTTTAAATCTTTTTTTTTTATAATTATTTTATAGTTTCACTAGAACGATGGCTTACAGCACCTTGTCGATCCCAAAAGCTGGATCTGCTGAAACCCAAATCCACCTGAAAAGGTTACAGTACATTTGTAAAATAACTCTATAAAGTTTATTGGGTTATTTTTCTAATCTTTGGTCAATTAATTTGCTAGAAGAGCATATTATAATAGGTTGGTTAAATGAAGGCCTGACAATTGTCCTTCGATCTGCCACAGGAATTTAGGACCTAACCATTCATCTTTTAATTTGTAGTTCCCCAATATTTTGTCATGTATGATATTCGTAGGTGTGTAATTGGGACCTAAGAAACCAATCACTCGACCTTAATTTTTTCTTGATATGTCATGCGCAGCATCTTAATCTATATGGATAAGTGGGATGGCACCAGAAGTAATCATAAAATTAGAGTTAATAAATATAAAATCAACAACTTTACTGTCTGTGCAATGCAGGTAGTCCGTTGGGGCAGGTCTGTTTATGCGAATATTCAGAAATTTATCCAGTTTCAGCTCACAGTTAATGTTGCAGCTCTTGTAATTAATGTTGTGGCAGCAGTTTCAGCTGGAGATGTCCCATTGAATGCTGTACAGGTTTGTTAAGACTCTCTCTCTCTCTCTCTCTCTCTCCATGATAAAGTGTTTGTTGGTTGATGTATTTTTTCCTTTTGGTTTTCTTTGTACAGCTTCTTTGGGTCAATCTTATTATGGATACTCTTGGAGCACTTGCGTTGGCCACTGAACCACCAACTGATCACCTCATGGATAGCCCTCCTGTTGGTCGAAGGTTTGACTTCTGTTTTTGATATGTATCATATTTACAAGAAGCACCATGGAAATACATCAATCTAAATCAATTGCCCTACAAAATCCAAAACTTCGTTCTAGATTGATACCACCCGAGAACCACCTATACAAAATGGCCAAAATTCTACTCTTCCAACAAAAATAGGAGTCTCTCAACTGCATCAATGTTCTCCTATTGCGCTTCCTCCAGATGCTCCACATAACACCAATTCATAAAGTCATATAACCTTAATCCAACCTTTTTTAAAATACCCTCACACTTCAAGTTTACTAAAATACCAATTCTTCCAATTTTCGTAATACTAACATATCATAAATAGGAAGCTAATCCAATTTCAACCAACCAACAAATTTGATATAAAATTCATAAAATTATATAGGAACGTATGGCATGAAATTATTTTTGAGAAGCTACTATATGCCTCAAATTCAAGTACTAGACTTAAAAATCACATAATTTACTTAAGGTAGATGTATTCCTCCAACTTTTTGAGTCATTATCACATTTCACTTGGAAGATCACATTGTTCATACACTATTTTGCCAATTCTCACATTTCCTTCTACACCGACATGCATACTATTCCAACATAATAAGTTACAAGTGTTTCCTCCTTTACTCTCCATTCTTGATTAAAAAATAGATGAACTTCTAGCCGAAGGTTGACTTATTGGGGCAGGCATTGGTAGATGGTTAAAAGCCTTACACTCATGACTCACTACCCCAATTTTGAGGTTTCCATAGAACCTCAACTCTAATCTCAAATGGCACAACATAACTGAGTTAGATCATAAAAGATTTAGGAATTTCTCTATCTGCTGGCGCACATCTACTCTTGCCCTCGAAAGAGTGATGTAAAGAGAAGGTTGGCTTGTCTTCATAAAGAGTATCAATAATAATTGCAATGTTACCGAATCCATCCTCGGTCCAAAGCTAAAGGATATTGTATAATGCCATTGTTTGACAACAATAAAACTTCCCCAAAAGTTGTGTGGTCCATCATATAGAGATGAATATTGTGAAATAATGATATCGTCCTTTGCATTTTTTTTTCCTCTAGTTTTATCGTTGGTCTTCTCATCATATTGTTTGTGCTTGATTTTTGTACTGCACCAATTCCTTTGTCTTCTGCTCTTTTCTCAGGGAACCTCTTATAACAAATATCATGTGGAGGAACTTACTAATACAGGTGTTTTTTGATTTCTTTTAGATTTACCGCAGCTAATCTGTTATGAATTTCAAAAACTCTTGTCCTTTGGTTGTCCTTTTCCATAAATGCTAATTGTCATTTGTGGTCGAAAAATTACAGGCTCTATATCAAGTCACAGTTCTTCTTATCCTCAATTTCCAAGGCAGAAGTATCCTGAATTTAAAGCATTACAACCTTGACCACGCTACTAAAGTGAAGAATACGTTGATATTCAATGCATTTGTTTTTTGTCAGGTAGATGTACTGACCCAAATAAAAGAGATGAAAATGGATTGCAAGCTGTGATTATGAGCATGCGGAGCACTTGACTACATGCATTATTATTTTTATTTATATCTTCCTCTCTGGTCAAATGATCCCATAATTGGGACTTCAATTAAGCTACAATATGCGTCCATAGTGAACTGATATGCCCATTACTATGGAAAAAGTGTTTCCTTCCTTTCACTATGGAAATATATCTAATGTGATTGCATGGCCATTTTATTTGTCTTTCTGTTCTGTTTTTGTTTTTGTTTTTGTTTTTGTTTTTGTTTTTGTTTTTGTTTTTTTAATTAAGAAAAATACTCGCACATAAAGGAGCTAACCATTGAGATTGCAGATTTTCAATGAGTTTAATGCTCGGAAGCCAGATCAATTTAATGTATTCAAAGGGGTGACCAAAAACTATCTTTTCATGGGGATAGTTGGTCTAACGCTTGTGTTTCAGGTCTCTCTCTCTCTCCCTCTCTCAGTAAGTTATGCTGCATACATGTATGGCTTTGTGTGTCTAATTCCTGTTCTTTATCAGATCCTTATAATCATGTTCCTCGGAAAGTTTACCACTACTGTCAGGCTCAGCTGGAAACTGTGGCTTATTTCTGTTGTTATTGGCCTTATCAGGTAAGTCTGTTTAATGGTGATGAAATGTTGAAGTACAAATAACTGATGCTTCCAAGATATTTGTGATTGGTTATAATATAGATGTCAACCTCTTCCATGGCTCCCTTCCCCCCACCACCGATGTACACACACGCCATCCTGGCCTCCGCATGGGAGCGAGTGTGAACAAGCTTTTTCTTTTTCTTTTTATTTTTTCTCTCAAATGATATGAGATTCATTTGAAAGATAATTTATTTTTTCACATTTAAGTTTCAATTTAATCGCATTTAATTGCTAAACCAATTTTAATTATGAGGGAGTTGGGTGTGAAATTATTTTACAAAAATTAATGATTTGTTTTTCACCACCACTTTTCTTCAACCAGTTGGCCTCTTGCAGTAGTTGGGAAGTTCATTCCTGTTCCCGAGAAGCCGTTCAGCAAAATGTTGCGTCGACGAAGAGCTTCACGAGGTAAAAAAAAAAAAAAATCAATTTTCTCATTGGTTTGGTTATCAAGATGCAATGATTTGCTTGCTTGCTTGATTAATTTGACATAAATTCCTTTGATTTCAGGTTCAATCAACAAGAGGCAAGATGATAATGGATGAAAATAGAACACTTCCAGTTTCTGTTGCCCCTCTCAGTTAACAGGGTGATACAAGGGTTATACACAAAGATGTAAAAATGCAGATCCACAAAAGCTTAGTGAAACTCGTGGTACTTTATGTTAATATTAAAAAAATAAAAAGAATCTGCTGGCTTTCTAGTTGTTTCTTGCTTATTTCCGTCCCTTTGTTTTGGATAAATTTGTAATTTCATCTTTTTCTTTTGCTGAAAATCTGTATCAAATGCAGTTGTGAAACTAAATAATGATTGCAATGAGCTTACTTGAACCGATCTCGGTTTCATGTTAATTTGCATTCTACATTCGCTGAAGAATGATCTGAGTTCATTTGATTAGTATTCGTGTTAGAGTTGAAATTTTGTTCAATCATGATTTGATTGTTGATCATATTAGTGATTGAACTGTCATTTATTAGATTGATGTAACTTTGATTTGCCTTGATAATATACGTCTGAGTGTTTTATTTTGTTGATGCTCTCTTTAAAATAGTAAAATTTTATGGTTTTTGTAATTTTGACAGTAATTTTTTTTATTCTAAAAAAAGAATTTTATAGTAAACGTGGATATTATTTGATAAATCTTGATGAGAGAATTTTAAAATACCAATTTTTTATTTTATAGTAAACGTGAATATTATTTGATAAATCTTGATGAGAGAATTTTAAAATACCAATTTTATTAAAAAATAACATTTAGATCAAAAGTTATATTATTTTAAAATTTAAATTATTAAATAGAGAAGGCTTTCTCTTTTGTGAGCTAAAGTTGCCTCGCATACCTAACTTGCTTTTGGGGGCTCCATTTCAATTTTCAAAATTTCTCAAGAGATATTATGCTCAAGACCGGTTTAGTGGAGTACCGAAATGTTTGAACTAATGTTACGAATTTTGTCCCGTACCAGTAAATATTAGTCGAAATGTAACCATTTCAGAGGCAGAATGAGGGTAGTTTTATTTCATGTAAAATAGTGGCCCATTTTGGCTTATTTCGCTCATTTCGGGAAATTTTGACCCATTATTGAAATTTTGCTAGTTTCGTTTACATAATGACTTGAGAGTATGATTGACGTTAACAAGAGTAATGATAGAAATCTCAAATGAATTATCATATTTTACACAATATTTACATAAGTGTAAAATTTGCACTTAATAAGACCAACATGAGCATCACACTCCCGTAATATTTGATAAAATATTTAATAATTTATTTAAAATTTCTAACATTTTTTTATGTAAAATTTGTTAATACTACTTTTTAAGATTTTGCTTCACACTGTCCAATTCACTATGGAGAAAGTCTCAAAATAAGTCTACACTTACGTGGTTTGCAGGACAATAATTTTACACTTATGGCACTGCAAAATATAAGGTAGCGTTTGGTAGAGTTTTATAAATGTGATTTGAGAGTATGAGTTGTATTTTGAGTTTGTGTGTTGTGGAATTATGATTTGAGCGTAGAAAATTTGTTTGGTTATAGTTTTTAAATAGAGTGTTGAAATGTGTTTTGAAGATTTATTTTGAATTAAGTTTTGAAAGTTTGATGTGACATGTGAAATAAGAAAATTTGTTTAGTAATGTGTTTTAGAAATAGTTTTCAAAACTTAATTCAATCAATAATTTATAATCAAACACACAACTCATATATTGATATCCGTATTTTTTATCAACAGTAATAACCAAACTATTTTTAAAATACTGAAATTAAAAATTGATTTTTTTTTCAATTAATTTTTTTTCAGTAATTTTTTTGAATTTTTTTTTTGAATTTTTTTTTTCATTTTAAAATAAATCTATGTCAATTATTTTGTGTCAATTAAATTTTCTATCTATTCATTTTTTACGCCTGTACAAACATCTTCTACAATACGTTTTTTTATTTTTTTCTAAAATTTTGTTAAAGTCAACAACTTTTGAAAATACATATTAATAAAAATTAACATAAATACACTAAGTTTAATATTTTAAAATAGAAATCATAACGTAAACCTTACAAAACATTATCAATTTTTTTTCTCATTTATTACACGTTATTAATTTAGTAATAAAGTCGTAACAGATTGTTCAGTATTTGTTCAGTATACAGATGTAATATTATTAAAAAATTATTAATATTATAAAAAAATAATAGATAAGAAATCAAAAGTAAAATAAAAAATAAAAAACAACCTGAACCTTCTGAACCTCAGATAATCGAACACCAGGAAGTCGGACTGGGACAACGGGGCGGTGATCCGGCCGGTCATCCCATCTCACACCAATTCTCACTCAGTGGAAGCTTTTCAGAGAAGGAATATGAGGTTCACGTGATACAGAAGAAATATGAGGTTCACGTGAAATTTTCAAAGACGATGGAGAAGGACATGGAAGCAGTTGTTCCCAAAAAAAAAAAATATATATATATATATATATGTAAGGGTGTTTGGGAATAGATTATTTCAGTTAATTTTAAATTTTTTTACCAAAAGACATCCAAAAAAATTAGGATTAGACATAGGGTTATCCGAACAGCTCAACCTGCCCAACTTGAACCGATCCACATATAAATGGACAGTTTTGCAAACACAATATGGGCGGATGCGATTTGAAATATGACATTATTGCGGATTGCGGGTTTTAACTGCACCCGCAAGAATCCGCCCGCACTTAAACTTTTTTAAAAAAAAAAAAAAAAAAATTTATACGCATAGTGAAAGCGCGATTTCAAATAGCGTTTTCTTCAGGAAAAAAATTTTATGCTAAAAGCGCGATTTGAAATAGCGATTTCTTAATTAAAAGTGCGTTTTGCAATAGCGCTTTTACTATTCATCAAAATTTGGGCTCCAAACAGTCAAAACGCGATTTGTAATAGCGCTTTAGCTTAGTTTGGAAAATCCATCCAATCTAGGCCTAGTTTGGGAAATAAGATGCAAAAGAGGCTTAATATGAGAAAAGCCTTGCCTACTTCATGGAGGACAAACAAATATGTTTTATTTATTTGTTTTTTAACAATCTTGCCCTTTCATGTATACATGCGAGATTTGAAAAGTTCTCTTTTATCGATTGTAGTCCATGTAGTTTGTAGTTGCAAGTTTGCAAAGCATGAGAGCTTGATCGGGTTTGCAAAGTTTCATTTGATCATTGTTTGAGTTAGAGTTGAAGTTTTGTTCGATCACTTTATTTGATTAGTATTTGTGTTAGAGTTGAAATTTTGTTCAATCATGATTTGATTGTTGATCATATTAGTGATTGAACTATCATTTATTAGATTGATGTTACTTTGATTTGCCTTGATAATATATGTTGAGTGTTTTATTTTGTTGATGCTCTGTTTAAAATAGTAAAATTTTATTGTTTATGTAATTTTGACAGTAATTTTTTTTTTATTCTAAAAAAAGAATTTTATAGTAAACGTGGATATTATTTGATAAATCTTGATGAGAGAATTTTAAAATATCAATTTTATTAAAAAATAACATTTAGATCAAAAGTTATATTATTTTAAAATTTAAATTATTATAAAGAGAAGGCTCTCTCTTTTTTGAACTAAAGTTGCCTCGCATACCTAACTTGCTTTTGGGGGCTCCATTTCAATTTTCAAAATTTCTCAAGAGATATTTTGACAGTAATTTTTTTTTATTCTAAAAAAAGAATTTTATAGTAAACGTGGATATTATTTAATAAATCTTGATGAGAGAATTTTAAAATATCAATTTTATTAAAAAATAACATTTAGATCAAAAGTTATATTATTTTAAAATTTAAATTATTAAATAGAGACGGCTTTCTCTCTTGTGAACTAAAGTTGCCTCGCATACCTAACTTAGCTTTTGGGGGCTCCATTTCAATTTTCAAAATTTCTCAAGAGATATTATGCTCAAGACCGGTTTAGTGTAGTACCGAACATGTTTGAACTAATGTTACGAATTTTGTCCCGTACCAGTAAATACTATTCGAAATGTAACCATTTCAGATGCAGAATGAGGGTAGTTTTATTTCATGTAAAATACTGGCCCATTTTGACTTTATTTCGCTCATTTCGGGAAATTTTGACCCATTCTTGAAATTTTGCTTGTTTCGTTTACATAATGACTTGAGAGTATGATTGACGTGAACAAGAGTAATGATAGAAATCTCAGATGAATTATCATATTTTACTCAATATTTATATAAGTGTAGAACTTGCACTTAATAAGACCGACATGAGTCTCACACTCCCGTAATATTTGATAAAATATTTAATAATTTATTTAAAATTTCTAACATTTTTTTATGTAAAGTTTGTTAATACTACTTTTTAAGATTTTGCTTCACACTGTCCAATTCACTATGATGGAGAAAGTCTCAAAATAAGTTTACACTTACGTGGTTTCCAAGACAATAATTTTACACTTATGGCACTACAAAATATAAGGTAGCGTTTAGTAGAGCTTTATAAATGTGATTTGAGAGTATGAGTTGTATTTTGAGTTTGTGTGTTGTTGAATTATGATTTGAGTGTAGAAAATTTGTTTGGTTATGGTTTTTAAATAGAGTGTTGAAATGTGTTTTGAATATGTATTTTAAATTAAGTTTTAAAAGTTTGATGTAACATGTGAAATAAGAAAATTTGTTTGGTAATGTATTTTGGAAATAGTTTTCATAACTTAATTCAATCAATAATTTATAATCAAACACACAACTCATATATCGATATCCGCATTTTTTATCAACAGTAATAACCAAACTATTTTTAAAATAATGAAATTAAAAATTGATTTTTTTTTTCAATTATTTTTTTTTCAGTAATTTTTTTTGAATATTTTTTTTTCAAATAATTTTTTCATTTTAAAATAAATCTATGTCAATTATTTTGTGTCAATTAAATTTTCTATCTATTCATTTTTTATGCCTGTACAAACATCTTCTACAATACGTTTTTTATTTTTTTCTAAAATTTTGTTAAAGTTAACAACTTTTGAAAATACATATTAATAAAAATTAACATAAATACACTAAGTTTAATATTTTAAAATAGAAATCATAACGTAAACCTTACAAAACATTATCAATTTTTTTTCTCATTTATTACACGTTATTAATTTAGTAATAAAGTCGTAACAGATTGTTCAGTATTTGTTCGGTATACGGATGTAATATTATTAAAAAATTATTAATATTATAAAAAAATAATAGATAAGAATAAAAAGTAAAAAAAAAAAAAAACCTGAACCTTTTGAACCTTCAGAGTAGCTTCAGATAGTCGAACACCAGGAAGTCGGACCGGGACAACCGGCTAGTCAACCGGCCGGTCATCCCATCTCACACCAATTCCCACTCAATGGA